GTAATCACAGCTACTCAGGAGGCTGAGGCATGAGAATCCCTTGAACCCGGGAGGTGGAGGTTGCAGTGGGCCAAGATCATGCCAGTGCACTCCAGCCTGGGTGACAGAGTGAGACTCCATCCCCAAAACAAACAAACAAACAACAACAACAAACACAGTAACCTTAATTGATCCCTCAAATATCCATTCTATCCTTTTTTGTTTTTTCCCCTAAATGTCTTTGTAGACCTTCATGCAGTGCAGATTATCTACTTACTTTTTAATGCAAAGAACTCAGAACTGAATACATTCTCCCAAGTATTTGATCAGTAAGAAAGAGGTCACATCTATTACTCCCTGTCTTCTAAGGCAGCCAACAGTCTCATCTTTCTGGCTGTCACTTCATACTAGTATTTCATACTTAGCTTCTGGTGGACTAAAAGCTCAACTTCTCCCATGCTCCTCCTGATCACTCCAACCCATTAGAGATCTCCACACACTTCCCTTTTATTTAAGCATCTGTATAATTCTCTATCTCTTTCCTTATTAGTGTCCATATTTCTCTTCCAGGGTGTAAATTTTTCACCATCTGCCCCATGTTTCTGTTCCTCTCTTCAGTAACTTTCCTAATAATTTCCAATTTTGATACAGAGTGCATTGAATCTGTAGTTTGCTTTGGGCAATATGAACATTTTAACAATATTACTCTTCTAATTCATTAACATGAAATGTCTTTTCATTTATTTGTGTTTTCTCTACTCCAAAACAACATAATACACATTCTTATCATCTTCAGTGGCACATACTCTAAAATCGACCAGTCGGCCATAAAACAATTCTCCACAAATTTAAAAAGAAAACAAAATCATACCAACCACACTCTCAGACCATAACACAATAAAAATAGAATAAAATAATAACAGCACTCAAAACTATAAAATTACATGGAAATTAAACAACCTGCTACTGAATGATTTCTGGGTAAATAATGAAATTAAGGCAGAAAGCAAGAAATTATTTGAAACTAGTGAGAAAAAAGATATAATCTACCAAAATCTCTGGGACATGGCCAAAACAGTGTTAAGTGGAAAGTTTATAGCACTAAATGCCCACATTAGAAAGCTAGAATCTCAAATTAACAACCTAATGTTGCACCTTGAGGAGCTAGAAAAACAAAAGCAAACCAAACTCAAAGCCAGCAAGAGACAAGAAATAATTAAAATCAGCACTGAACTAAATGAAATTCAGATGCGAAAAACCATACAAAATCTCAATGAAACCAGAAGTTTATATTTGAAAGAATAAGTAAGATTGATAGTCCACTACATAGACTAATAAAGAAAAAAAGAGAGAAGATCCAAATAAACACAATCAGAAATGACAAGGGGACATTACCACTGACCCAACAGAAATATATTTAAAAAAAAAAAGAACCCTCAGACAAAATAACGAACACCTCTGTGCACACAGGTTGGAAAACCTACTACAAGTGGCTAAATTCCTGGAAACAAACACTCTCCCATGATTGAACCAGGAAGAAATTAAAAATCTGAACAGACCAATAAGAAGTTCCAATATTGAATCAGTAATAAAAAGCCTATCAACCAGATAAAGCCCAGGATCAGAAGGATTCACAGCTGAATTTCACTGGGTGTATAAAGAAGAGCTGGTGTCATTCCTGCTGAAACTATCCAAAAAACTGAAGGGGAGGAACTCCTCCCTACCTCATTCTATGAAATCAGGATCATCCTGATACAAAAACATGTCAGAGACACACAAAAATGGAAAACTTCAGGTTAATATCCTTAAAAAACATAGATGGAAAAATTCTCAACAAAATACTAGCAAACCTAATCCAGCAGCACAGCAAAAATGTAATCCACCACTATCAAGTAGGGTTTATTCCTAGGATGCAAGGTTTATTCAACATATGCAAATCAGTAGGTGTAATTCATTACAGAAACAGAACTAAAAACAAGAACCATATGATAACAATATATGCAGAATATATTGGGAGTCATCCACCTGGTGGGAGGGCGGATGGATGACTACAAAGGGGACACACAACGTAATGACAGGATAACAAAACTGTTCTATTTGGTACTGGAGTAATAAATACGTAACTCATACATTTGTCAAAACCCATAGAACCATACATCAATAAAGAGTGAACTTTAATATATATAAAATTTTAAAAATTAAACAGGATGTTGGCAGAATTCCAGGATGAAATGCAGACTGTGAGGAAGAATCTAACTATATTACAAATCTATTACACAATCTCACTGAAGATGATGAAGTGGTAGGGGAAGGAGTTCAATGAAATAACTTTGGAAAATGCTGTTTTGATAGGAAAACATAAGGTTAAAAACAAAAGGAATTGTACACAAACACTATACTCCAGTTGATAAATTTCTCATGAGAAGACAGGTTAACGATTCTGAATCTGCTTTGCGTGTATGACGGGATTATAAATAAATGGATGGTGGCTGGGGAGAGCCAGGTTTCCATCGAAGAAAATTACAGATGATAAGAAAGGAAGACTAGAATGAATCTCATGGAACTGGATTAGAGCTGGAGATATCAGTATTAATTCATGCTTAGCTGAAGATATAGATGGGAAGATAGATACAGAAATAATTCTAGACGTGCATATACTATGGGTATTGTGATGGTTAATACTGAGCGTCAACTTGATTGGATTGAAGGATGCAAAGTACTGATCCTGGGTGTGTCTGTGAGGGTGTTGCCAAAGGAGATTAGCATTTGAGTCAGTGGGCTGAGAAAGGCAGACCCACCCTTAATCTAAGTGGGTACTATCTAATCAGCTGCCAGCACAGCCAGGATATAAAGCAGGCAGAAAAATCTGAAAAGGCTAGAGTGGCTTAGCCTCCCAGCCTACATCTTCTCCTGTGCTGAATGCTTCCTGCCCTTGAACATCAGACTTCAGGTTCTTCAGCTTTGGGCCTCAGACTGGTTTTTTTCTCCTCAGCTCCTCAGATGAGTCTGCATGATCTGCAGACACACCACCCAAAATTGGACAACTGCAGCACCACAGCCCCCTTCTAGGACATTCCTGAAGGACAGGAAGTCTGTTAGCTAATTCACTGCATCAGACTGACCTGTAAGTGTGTGTGACTTAAGGTCTTCGTGGCCTTAGGTCTTATATATAATTTGGTATCTTATTGTCACAGAGCCCATTTTGTTAATCCAGTTGTCTCTATTTTATTATTAATGCTGGGCAGTTGTTGCTAAACTCCAAAAGGGAGGAATTGCACCTGAGGCATGTCTAACTTCTCAGCCCATCATGGCCAGATATTTGTTTTTTAGGTTTCTCTGCAGTCCCCTTAGCCAAAAGGGGTTCATTCAGTCAGACGGGAGGCTTAGGATTTTGTTTACAACTGACAGTTTATTTTCAATCCTGTTTGTGTATCAAGAAGCATGGAAAGAGTTTATGGTTTTTGTTGTTGTTTTTTAAATAAAAATGAATACCTAGGTCCCATCACGTACCTGATGAGACCAGAGGGGTCAACATCAAGACTCAAGCACAGCGACAAAGAACCGTGAAGAATAGGATGGGTAAAGAATTTTTGTTTTCTCAGTTGAAAATGCAAGTTCTTTGCAATTGTATGAAGGGGGACTCATGAAGGCTTAAGAGGAAAAGTTTGAAATCATTGCCACCAAAGATGTAAAAACAAGTCAGGTGACAAAAAAGTCTACCATGCATCTCCAAGAGCCCACTTGAAGGCAGAAAGCAAGAGTTTGTAGTAGAATCAATCAACATTTCAACAGCCAGAAGGAAGAGAGGGAAGGCACTAATGAGTTTCCAAAGGATTGGATGTAAGGCAGGCACTGAAGGATGTCCTGATGGGCAAGTATATTCATCATTTCCCAAGGTGGCATAACAAACTGGGTGGCTTAAAACAATTGAAACTTATTGTCAAACCTGTTTTGGCGGCTAGAAATCATAAACCAAGATGTTGATGGGGCCATGCTTCTAAGGGAGGGTTCTTCCTGGCCTCCGCCAGCTTCTGGTAGCCCCAGGTACTCCTTGGCTTGTGACAGCATAACACCAGTCTCTGCCTCCATCTCCCAGAGCCTCTTTCATGTTGTTTCCATCTGGCATTTTTCTGTGTGTGTGGGCATGAATGTGTGAACGTGTACATTAATTTCTTTCTTTTTATAAGGACATCAGTCATGCTGAATTAGAGCCTACCCAAATGACCTTATCTTGTTTACATCTGCAAACATCCCAATTCCAAATAAGGTCATATTCACAGGTAGCGCTTCAACATATCTTTTTGAGGAACATAATTCAACCTGTAACAGCAAATTATCCTGGGAAGTTGAGAACTCAGTAGAAATTGTTGAATCAGGGGGCTGCTCAGGCTGAATAGGAAGACAAGATGGCTGAGATATAAGAAGGGGAGGAGGGGAGTTAGAGAAGATGCTGTAAGTTGTGTAAGAATCCTCACTACTACCATTCAACCCGGCAATCCCATTATTGGGTATATGCCCAATACCCAAAGGCATCATTCGACTATAGAAGCATATGCATATATATATTCATTGCAGCACTATTCACATTAGCAAAGACATGGAATCAACCTAAATGCCCATCAACAGTAGATTTGATAAAGAAAATGTAGTACATATACACCATGGAATACTATGCAGCCATAAAAAAGAGATGTCTTTTGCAGCAACATGGGTGGAACTGGAGGCCATTATCCTAAGCAAACACAGGAACAGAAAACCAAACATTACATGTTCTTACTTATAAGGGGAAGCTAAATTTGAGCATCCATGGCCACAAAGAAGGGAACAATAGACACCAGGGCCTACTTGAGGGTAGAGGGTGGAAGAAGGTGAGTATCAAAAAAGTACCTATTGGGTACTAAGCTTACTACCTAGGTAATGAAATAATATGTACACCAAACCGCTGTGACATGCAATTGATCTATAGAACAAACCTGTATGTGTTCCCCTGAAACTAAAATGTAAGTTTAAAAAAATCCTCATTAAATTATTGCCTGAAAGTCTTTATTGAAAATCTGGAAGAAAATACATTAAAATGTTAGTAGTGCATAACTTTAATTTTTATACTTTTTTATCTTATAAACTTTCTACAATAAGTACAGGACTTTATATAAGAGAAAAGCAATCACTATTTTAAAAAATAACTATCCAGTAACTGCCACAATCTCCTGAGTCCAGACAATCTAGAGCAGAAGGGTAGAGTGAGGAAAACATACACAGGATAAAAAAAAATATGTAACAAAATCAAAGCCTGAAACAAAGATCAACATCCAGTTTAAGTTTCTGAATAAAGGGAGAGTAGACAGGAGCATGGGCCTTCATCTCAGACAAATCTGGATTTTAATCCCAACGCTGCCATTTTCCAGCTAGCCAAAAATGAGCTAGTTACTCCATAAAGAGTTCAGTTTTCTCATTTGTACAAATAGGATTTTACTTTCCATCTCACTGAGTTGTGATGAGAGTCATATGCAATAGTATAGGAAGAGGCTAGCAAAAGGTATTTAACAAGCATTCCAACATTCTCATGATGACATGAATAACCCTGCACATACAATATAGGTACTTGATAAATACACAGCACAGTTAATAGTTGAGGGCAGAGACATGGTTGGGAAGAGAGGGACTGCAACATGGGCAGAGTGGGGGGAGATTCCCACAATTTTCTTTCTTTTTTTTTTTTTTTGAGGTGTAACATCAGTCTTTAATGCTGTCACGCTGTATTGACAAGTCACATACTTGGTCCCATGTTGGCAGTGGCAATTTACAATGAGTCTAAAGGTCTGAGCACCAGATTGGTGTCCAGGAACAGACATTTGTTCCAACTCCTCCTCCCTCCCCAAGATTTCTTCAGAATTTCATTATGGCCCTATACAGAGAGCAGTGACTGCTAGGGACTGGTTTTATTTGAGTGTACACCAACTATACACTGATTATAAAAACATATTTACAGACATTCACAGTGCTCCTGTAATCACAAGCAAAGACCCTTTTATCAAAAGGGATTATTCTAGCGCTGTGCAAAATTCAAAAGGATCAGATCCCTTTGAAAGAGTCCATAGTCTATCAAACAAAAAATTACCTAGGCGACTGGTTAGCCCCAGTGTGCTGAGACTGCCTTACAGAAATGCAAAGAGTGTGACCCATAAAGTGGACACATTCAGCTTCTCTAGAGCCAGAGGTCTGGAGGGTCTCTTGCTGGGGCCAGGCTCCCAGACCCTTGCGGGAGAGGTGGCTGCACTTACTGGAGTCACTCGCTGAAAGCTGGCCCCTTGGTCCTGCTGGAATAAGAGGTATTGCTTGTGGGTGCCAGCCAGGCAGTTCTGCAGGAATAGTTTAGAGGTTCTCAATTTGAGACGGCCAAAGAGAAGACAGGATTCTTCAGGGGAAGAGCAAGACATGGGAGACAAATACAGAAAAAAACACAAACTGATCACACAACAGAGTGTACAGGGTCTAGCAACCAAGACAGCAAGTTGACATCATCTACCAGCCAGAAGCAAAGGGACACAGGGGGATCAAGTCCAGCTGCTGGTCTGCCTCTTGCCCCTGGACAAGGACTGGAGGAGGCGGATGTGGGCCCCTCCCGGGAAGGCTGCCATACCCAGCGGGGCAGACTGGAATGCCTTTTCCTGCTGTTCCCACCAACTGATGCCTTATCACTCGAAAAACCACTGAAGTCTAGTGTACCACTTTGAAAGATTATAATATATGCTCTGGAAAACATTCAGCAGTACGAAAACCCTCCCTGGGCCCTCCTGCCCTTTCATGGTCCACAACTGGTAGAAAGGTCCAGAAATCCTTGAGCTCTGGAAATGTCCCTGGTCAGTCCTTGGAGAGCTCAGGTAGCTATATCGGAAGAACCTTCTCAAGTATGGATCTTGATGTCTGGGGGAGATTCCCACAATTTTCTAAAACTGAAAAGTGGGGGAATCAGTAGTTACTGGAAAAAAGAGGCAATGCCCAACCGGATAGAAAAGGATTCTATGCCTTTGTCAAAGTTCACAGAAGTGAAATAAGCCTATACTGTGGGATGTTCACACTATGTGCCTTTACTGCCAGTTAGGGTACTTCAGGCTGCAAGTAACCAAATACAACTGAAACTGCCTTATACAGTAAAGGCATCATTATCTCATATAACAAGCAGCTTGGGATTAAGAAAATTTCAACAATTTAAGAATGGCAACAAAGACTGTTTCTTCTACCTTTCCACCATTCCTGTGTTCTCAGTTCCAATGTGGCTGCTAACATCCATATGTCTTCCCTGTATATCTCTTTAAAAGCTACAAAAAGATTTCCCAAAAGCACTTTGGAAAACTTTCTGTCCCATCTCCATTGGCCGGGACTACCTCTTCTGAAGCACACAAAGGGCAGATACCAAACGGTTCAATTAGGAAGACTCAGAAGATGGACTACCCAGGATAGAGACATGACGGGCAGAAAAGGGCCAGGGATGTGTGTTCCTGAGTTGGACTACAGAGAAGGAGTTTTGCTCAGGGGAAGAAAAGCCTCATTTCCCATCAGTCACTGGTGGAATGACTAAAGATGCTAATGGACTCAACCAAAAAAATGGCCGGAGGCGTGAGACAGAAGAACAAGAAAAGGTGTGCAGGTGCACTCCGTCCACAGCGCTGTAGAAGGAGACATTCCCAGTCCCACGATCCAGGTAAACACCCACCCGGTGGACAGCAGGCTCTTGCTGGGTCGGACTTCCAGGGAAGCCTGTCAAGGGCCAGCAACCAGCAGCACTCCAATAAATTGCCCAGATTCCCACATCTGGGGACATTTTTGAACGATCACTAATTCCCATGACATCCTCCCGACACACCCCAACGGCAACCTCCAGACTATCTCTTCTCTCAATTTCCCAGTAATGTTTCCCTGAGGTGAAAACATTTTTCCCTAGAACACAGGGTAAGTGCTGAAATTTCTCTACATGAGCGGTCTTCTGAGGATTCCTCCATCCAGCAACAAAGTTCCACGCTGTAGAAAACACCGGCCAAGAATTGGCTGATGCTACATTTTTCACGTATCTCCCTTCCTGGGAGAAGACGAGTTTGGGATGCGCCGTGTCTTCAGCTAGGTTTACAGCCACTGTGAAGAAAATGAGAGCTGAGATGAGTAGTGCAACAGCTTATCATCAACCCTTCCCCAGAAATGTCCATCTTTTCCAGCATCAGTTTCATCTTGCTCCTCCTAACAAGCACTCATGACTCCTCACTGCTATCCAACTGATCCTCAGCCAGGCCTAGCAGCCCACAGCATGGCCTTTAGCAACCTGAAGTCCTCATTTCCCTTCTGCCCTAAAAGACTAAGCCCTAGGCTGAGCATGGTAGCTCACAACTGTAATCCCAGCACTTTGTGAGGTTGAGGCAAGGAGATCACTTGAGGTCACAAGTTTGAGACCAGCCTGGCAACATGGCGAAACCCTGTCTCTACTGAAAACACCAAAAAAAAAAAAAAAAAAAAAAACACCACACTAGCCCAATGTGATGGTGGGCTCAGGTAATCCCAGGCACTCAAGGGGCCGATACAAGAGAATCACTTGAGGAATGTACATTAAGAGTCTGACAAATGTTTTTCCTGCTTCAACTGAGACGATCACATAGTTTTCCTTTTTTTTTTTTTTTTTTAACTTTAATGATATAAATTATATTGATTTTCAAATGTATTCAGTAGGCATAGGTTGCAGTTGAGTCAAGATCATGTCATTGCACTGCAGCCAGGGTGACTGAGTAAGACTCCAGCTACAGGAACAAAAAAAAAACAACTAACCTCTAGCAACAGGATCTAATTATTTCATGACCCAAGTTTTCCCAATCAGCCTAAAATTTGGAGAGATATTTACAAATTCTCACATGTTGAATCAAAACTAAAGCCAAGGCTGCTGACTAGCTGGTTCTCTGGCTACATACACACAGGTGTCACACAGGAGAAAATAACGAGGTCTCTCTTCACAGGTTCCAGCTGTTTACAGGGCATCTCCACAAATCTCCCCACAGCTCATCCAAAACTGAACTAATTATTCTACACCCCCTTCTATCCTCTTGGGACTGATCCACTTCATATGCAGACATTGTGCCTTCTGTGTTCTCTAAGGTGTCAGTTACCTCCACCTGAACACTCAGGCTTTGAAATCTTTATTTTCAACACTTTTTCCTCTAACCTTCAATAGTAGTTAGTCACCAAGTCCTACCAATTCTACCACTGAAAATTGTCACAGGTTCTTTTCCTTCCCTGCACTCCACTGCCACTGTCTTTACTCCCATCTCCAGCATCAGTGTGTTAATAACATCCTCCCTGGCCTCCCTGCCTCCAAATTCTCTTCCCTCCCACTCTCCGTGTCTTGAGTTTGAGGACATATTTTTTTTAAAAATCAGGAATGTATGTTAGAGTCTGACAAATGTTTTTCCTGCTTCAACTGAGACAATCCGTTTTCCTTTTTTAACTTTAATGATATAAATTACATCGATTTTCAAATGTTAAACCAACCACGCTCTTCTGGGATAAATCTCATATTATTGTGATTATTATGTACTATCCTTTTTGTGCATCAAAGGATATATAAATTGGTCGTAATTATTACATATCTTTTTAATATATTGTTGGATTCAATTTGCTGAAGTTTTCTTAGATTTAGCTATGTTCATGAGAGACACTGATCTGTAATTCTTTTCTCTTATAATGTCTTTGTCTGACTTTGCCATCATGGTAATACAGACCTCACAGAAAGAACTGGGAAATATTCCCTCTTCAAATTTCAGTAAGAGTTCGTGAAGAATTGGCATTTATTTCTTAAATGTTTGGTAAAATGTTTCACCAAGAAAGACATTCGGGGTACAGGTGCAGAGGCTCACGCCTGTAATCCCAATAATTTGGGAAGCCGAAGTGGGAGGATCACGAGGTCAGGAGGTCCAGACCAGCCTGGCCAACATGGTGAAACCCTGTCTCTACTAAAAAAAAAATACAAAATTTAGTCAGGCGTGGTGGTACCACCTGGAGTCCCAGCTACTCAGGAGGCTGAGGCAAGAGAATTGCTTAAGCCATTGATTGCGCCACTGCACCCCAGCCTGGGTGACAGAGTGAGACTCTGTCTCAAAGGAAAAAAAAAGAAAACAAAACTAAAGCCATTTGAAAGGTTTCTAATACTAATTTCTTTCACAGAAAGGAGATTCTTCCAGTTACCTGTATCTTCACGAGTCAGCTTTGGTAATTTGTGCCTTTTAAGGACTTCGTCCATTTCATCTATGCTATCAAGTTTATTGGCAAAAAGTTGCTCCTAATATTCTATTATCCTTTTAATATCTGTAGAATCTGTAATGATGTCACCTTTCTCATTTCTGACATTAGTAATGTGTGTCTTCTTTTCTTCTGATCCTTTTGATTAAAGGTCTATCAATTTTACTGAAATTCTCAAAGGACCAGCTTTTGGTTTCATTGGTTTCTGTAGGCTTTCTATATTTTATTGCAATGATTTCCACTTTGATTTTTATTATTTCCATTCTTCTGTTAACTTTGGGCTTTACTTGCTCCTCTTTCTCTAGTGTCTTAAGGTGGAAGCTGAAGTCAAGTGATTTGAGAAGTTTCTTCTTTCCAATATAGCACTATACACTTTTAAGTACTGCTTTAGATGCATCCTACAAATTCTGGTAGGTTGTGTTTTCCTTTTGATTCCATTCAAAATACTTCTTAATTTGCCTTTTGATTTCTTCTTTAATTCAAGGGTTACTAAAAAGTCTATTTAGTTTTTTGACATTTGGAGGGTTTTCAAAGGATATTTTGATACTGATTCCTATCAATTCCACTGTGATCAGAGAACCTACTCTGTATGACTTGCATCCTCCTGACACCTGCTTTACAGCCAGCTTAGTCTAACTTGGAAAATGTTTCACATACACTGAAAAAATATGTAGCATATAACTGCTGGGTGAACTGTTCTGTAAATAATGGAATCAAGTTGATTGATAGTTATTTAAGTCTACTATATCCTTGCTGATTTACTGCCTAATTGTTCTGAAAATTATTAAAAACTCCAAAGGTAATTGTGAATTTGCCTATTTCTCCTTGCAGCTCTGTTAGTTTTTTGCTTAATATAGAAGCACTGTCAAGTGCATAAATGTTTAGAATTCGTATCCTCTTGATGGACTGACCCCTTTATCATTAGAATATAACATTCTTTATCTCTGCTAATAACCTTTGCTCAGTAATCTACTTTGATACTAATATACTCACTCCAGATCTATTAACATGATATATCTTTATCCATTCTTCTGCTTTAAACATATATGGTTCTTTATATTTAATGTGTTCCCTCTTTTCCAGTATACAGTTGGGTCTTGCTTTTCTTTTAGCCAATCCAACCAGCTTCTGCCTTTTGATTACAGCATTCAGACCATTTATAGTCAATGTGATTATTAGTATGATTAGATTTGTTATTATTTTGCTGTTTTATTTTTGTCCTATATATTCTTTTCCTGCCTTAATTTTAATCATTTTTTATAATTCCACTTTACTTCCTTTATTAATTAGCTACAACTCTTTTATTTTAGTGGTTTAAGATTTATAGTATCATATGACAGACGCACCTCACGGCAATAACTCAAGCATACCCTGAGAATGACCATATGGTCTAAGGAGAATGTATGTTCAGACTTCCAAGCTAATGAATGTGTGAGTGGCCAACCCAGAGATTCGCTCCTTATCTATGATGGACATCTGAACATCTGAACCTCTGGCCCATTCTTGGAATGCAGGCTGTACAGAAGACCAAGAGCCTTTGTTTCAGGTTAAATGGAGGTTGTTAGGAGGAGGTTGCTAAGTGAAAATGCTATCCGCATGCTTTTTACACACAGTAGCAACTGGTTTTTGTGTCCAGCCCACTGCTCCTGATCACCCAGCATGTAAGTTCTCAATAAACCCTATGTCTCATTCACTGGCTCCAGGTCTCTTCCACCTCTCAGACACAGTGCCATCACTACTGGAATCAATAGGGATCTAGCACAATTAGCCCAGCATGAGATTGGAGAAAATTCCATGAATGCCAAGACAATGAGATCAGGGGAGGGGAAATCCACAGGGGAAATCCTGGGCTGGCTGTCCACATGTATGTAGGGCCCGATAGCCACTATCCTTGATGGGTGGGGCCTACCAGGTGAGTATGGGGATACCCCCAAAATGCTAAAAGTCCTAAAAGAACTGCTGCAGGAGGTGGATCCAACTAAGGGAAAGTCAAACGCCCAAGTTGTGGCAGCTGCAGTTGGCTGGTCACTCCTGTGCCCAAAGGCTGAGCCTGTCGCACAGGCAAGGGTGTACCAGTTACAAGATGAGCTGCAACTAGAAAGAGATACATTAGCTCGGGCTGAAGTGTTGGAGAACTCACTGTCCCACCTCTGGAAACAGGATGACAAAATGGAGACACTGGCTTGTTGAGCAGCCTGTTTTAAGTGTCACTGACTGCCACATGGGGTTAGGACTATCGTGACTATGTCCTGGGACCCTAGGGAGAGATCTAGTGGGGAGAAGGATGACGACTGGGATGAGTCCATAGAGTTTCCCATCCTCTCGGCATGTCTGATGGTCACCACTAAGATGAAACAGGACCAACCACACCCAAGGGGGTAGCCCTGCAAGACTTGCCTCCACCTGAAAGAAGGCAGACCACCACAATGCAGGATTGTACTGCTGTGGAATTGGTGACGCTGGAAAATAGGTTCAGACAGAGTGGGAGACAGTCGATCCCACTCTCCCTGGGATTTTACACTCTCTCAGTTGGTAGGAATGGATTTTGAATGTTCCCAATGCAGATAATGATAAATGTTTGAGGTGGTAAATATGCTAATTACTCTGATTTGATCATTATGCATTTTATACACGTATTGAAACACCACACTGTACCCCATAAATATGTACAATTATGTAGCAACTAAATAAAAAAGATTTCCCAACTCAGTTCTTGTACTCCATGGGGGAAGGGCCTAGAATAGAATATACAGGTCACACCTATTTTACATCCTATTCCCCCACCCCCCTGTACTTCTAAAATAACGAATCCCAATCCTCCTTGTACAAGGAAACAATCATCCTCTTACAGAACA